ATTTTTCCTTATTTTTTCCTCTCTATTCTGTGGTTTATTTTTACATTATCTAACAAACTCTACTGCCCAAATAAGCCTATAATTTGTCCATAAACTACTGTAGGCTGTTATTTGTCTTACACCATTGACAGTTCACAAAAGTAATACAAGGCTTTACAACACTACAGCTACAGATAGATTTAAAAGGTTCTTATTTTTATTTTCTGATTTACACACACTTGAGCTTTTTAATAATTTTAGTTATAAATAGTTATATATATTTTTGTCTGAATTAAAATTGAAAAATCATTTTTAAAAATTCAGTGTAAGTTTGAAAGTGAGTCTTATAGCCTACTAGTTTCAGCTCTTTCCTTTAACATTACTAATTCAAACCAAATGGAGAAAAATATATTACTTTTTATTATTTGACACTGTAAAACATCTTAAAACCCTTTAATAGACTTTTATCCTGTGTCTGTATGTGCTGCATACAGACAACTTTTTTTGTATAGTTTCTATGAACAAATCAGTATCTTTGTAGGTAAAGCACAATTTTTTTTATTCCTGTCCTCTAAAAGATTAGAGACATGTTAATATTCTGCCTTGCTAATGTCCATAGCAGATTGTCACACTTATAATGTGCTGTGAAACAATATTTCAGGGCCAGATGTTGATCCTACGACAAGGTAATGTGCTACCACTAATCAATATAGCACTTGAACTCTGAACTTCTTTCAATTCCAGTAGTAAATACTGTGGAAAGAAATGTTCAGTTGCTCAGAAGGAAAAGAAGCAAATGTTACAGTGCTCCCAGCAGGCTCTTTCTGACCATTTGAAAATGATATTACAGCAAGGACTACATGGAGCCCATCCTGACTTAAAAAATGAAAGAAGACAGTTCAAGAATAGGACATTATTGTCTCCAAGCAAGAAAAAACCTTGAACAAAGAAAAGACTTGCAGGGCATCCCAGTATGTAAACAACATCTACCTCATCCTGATAAACCTTCCTAGTTCATCCGTGATAATACAGTGTGGATTTTATTACTAAATAATGGCTCTGCTTCCTTGAGTGCCCAGGCTGACTTTAAACAAACTTCTAACCTTCACTGGTAAGAATAAGAGAATCTTATTCTGATGGAATCTGCAAGCTCCAACAGGCTTCAAGTTGAACACAAAGTATCATGTTGAAAGCACTAGTAACAGGAACAATAACCTAGAAGAATATGTACAAAATTGTAAAAGAAAAATTGGATTGGATTGATTGTTTGTCTACATAGGGAATTTCAAAGACTTAACAGCATTACTATTTATATATTTCTGCATTTTATTGTCAAGAAAGAACAGCAGAGGAGCATCATTCCATGTATTTCTTCACTTAAGTGCATGGCAAAGTAATTCAGTTCTGATTTTGTCATTCAGAACACATTTTAAAGTTGCATCTGCAGCCATCTGAATTTACAAAACTGTGATATTTTCAATAATATTTTATTTCATATATGCTAAACATCAGCTATCACATGATGCCACCAAATAGTTTGTCACTGATTTTGAGGGAAGTGTTATAACTTCATGCAAGTATTATAACCTCATGCTTCTACTCAGATTTAACACCAAAACACACTCACTATGATTCATTTGATTTTATAGTCTAGCTAATAAAAATTGTCTTCCATAAAGGAATAAATAAATAAATTAAATAGAAATGGATATTGCAAGAGAACTATTTATTTTAGAATGTTATTTGCATAACCAATAAAAATAACAAAGTATAATATAATATAGACACAAGCTATATACATATATAGCATGTGTATTAAGAACAATTCTGCTCTGAATATAACTTAGGAGACAGGATAATAGTGCTCTATTTCAGATTTTGTGCACTAGAATAGCTTTCTGAGATCCCTTACTAATTTTATTGAAGTTCTGAGATGCAACAATCAAAGGATTTACCAGCAAGCTTAACTGCAACAATGTTCCTACACAGAACACTCCATCTAAAAACCACAGACAGCTGTAAGTGAGCTGCTGCAATTTAAGTTCATTTAGCAATGAAAAGGCCTTTTAAGAACTGGCATTAGAAATTTAGTGGACAATAAACTATCTCCCCCATCAAAAATAGAAAAAACCAACCACCAACACAAATAAAGATGCAGTGATGGCTCGGATTAAAAGTGTGGTCTGAAGTCCTGTCTCTAACCCTACATCTTGGCACATAATTCTTCAAACAGGGAGGTCTCTTCTATGCTTTGACCCTCTGTTTCCTCTTCCCTAAGGAACACAGAGCTCTTGGTTTGTTTCAATCATTTTAGTTTTTTCAGGCAAGAACAGTCAGAGCCTCTTTGGACTCTGATGTTAATGCCATGCAAAGAAAACAATATATATTTTGCTACAAGTGGTAAGAATACAGCTGCTATATCCTATCTATGCCAGGGATAGACCATAACACATCTAGATCACTGGACAGCTTTAAGCCAAGCACATATTTGTGATGTGGAGAGGCAAAAAGATATACTGGTGTCAAACTAATCATAAGCCTTGTAAACTAACATTGCTGCTTTTGCTAGGAAAGACATGAGCAATAAACCCTACTGTAATGGTTACTTGCAATTAAAAGAACTGTGTAAAAACTGTAATATGAACACAATTTTATTGCTCCATTATAAAAAAATAATAAGGTTCTGTCAATGCAATCTCCAACATGAAATCAGCATGTTATTATATATAATATATATATTATATATATATATATATATAAAATATATATTTATATATAAATACATACATATATCTATATATATATATGTGTATATATATATATATATATATATATATATATATATATATATATGTATCACATTATATTAATTTGATATATAGTTACCTAGCATGTACCATTTTTATACTAATGACAATAGTGATGACCTAAGCATAAAAATGTTAAGAGGCAAAAAGTCTATGTTCTAGTTCCTAGAGGGGACAGAACAATAAATTATTTGAGGTAGCAAGAGCTGAAGCCTAATGAGATAGAGTATAAAGAACCGTGGGAAGTTCTCCATTGTGCTGTATTAAGAAAATATTCAATTTATCTGCTGTTTAAATCATATTAGATTAACTGGTCAGATTTGAACCAAGATTTTCTGAGACTTAATGGCTGCCCACTGTTAAATGAATTTTAAATTATTTGTATTCCTAAAAAAATAAAAAAAAAGGAAAATCTCTCACAAAGTCCTCAGTCAAGCACACCAGGAAAAACTGCTGCTTTAGCTCCACATTACTAAAGGTCTTGCTATTTCTCCCTCTCCTTTTAGTATCATCCAAGAAGAGGGGTATCAGTGAATTTGTCCTAAATCAAACCATGTCCTGGGTGCACCAGGCACAGCTGGGCAAGGGAAGGGATTCTCCTACTTTGCTCTGCATTCCTCTGGCCTAGAGAAATTATGGTTTTCAGGGGAATGATGCCTTAGGATTTTAGCCTTTAAATTTTTCCAATTCTGTACTGCTTTAATGTATAACTCTAAAACTTTATATAGAATGTTAGCTACCATCTTCAGATTTTGGTCAGAGAAAACAATTATCCTAGGCCTCAAGCTCAAGGACGCCTTACTGTCTCAGGCCCTGAAAGTACTAACAAAAGCGAGTTGGGGACAGGGAGCAAAGTGGAGGTATATGACTTCATTACCGGAAGCTGTAATTGCAGGATTAACACGTGATATGTAAATGGACCAAACATATCTGTCTGAAAAACTCCTGACCATCATCTATCTTGGTGTAACTTCTCAGAGGCTTCTGACTGCCCAAGGTATACCTATTGAAGGCCTTTAATAAATACTTGCTTTTTACTCTCTTAATCTTATTTAGGTTCTGTTCCAGGTAGTCACTCCAAGGCATCATGATGGGCACTGGGCAGCTTCACCTCAAGACCACCTCATGGTGGTTTTGGCGACCATAATACAAAAAGGACACAATGGTATTAGAAAGCATCCAAAGAAGGGACACAAGGGAGGCCTTGAGGGGAAGCCATATGAGGAGCAGCTGAGATCACCTGGTCTGTTCAGCCTGGAGCAGACTGACAGGAGACCCCATTGCAGTTACAGCCTCTTTGTGAGGGGAAGAGGAGGGGCATGCACTGATCTCTTCTCTCTGTGACCTGTGACAGGGCCCCAGAGAATGGCATGAAGCTGTATCACGGGAGCTCTACGTTGAGTGTTAGGAAAAGGTTTTTCACCTTTTCCAGAGTGTGCTTGGATGTTGGAACAGGCTCCCTGGGGAGGTGGTATGGCACCAAATCTGCCAGAATTCAAGAAGTTTTTGACAGGACTATCAGGCACATGGGGTGATTGTTGTGTTGGGTTCTGTGCAGGGCCAGGAGTGGGGTTCCTCCCAACTCAGGATATTTTAGAATTTGGAATAAATTTTGGCTATAATTTATTTTTTATGAGAACTGGTGGAAAATAAAACCTTTTCCCTTTAATTTCATTTTTCTTCACTGGGTATCTTTCTACTCTCTCTAAAGTAAAGGCAAGGAATGAAGGGATTTGTATGCCTGGGTAACACTACCTCTTTGCACAAGTTTCCTTCCCCAACAGAAGATGAGGAATGTTTCAGGTGATCAGGATGACAGCGCAAAAAATTACACTTTCTGTTATGCATAGACTATTATAGCTCACACATGCATTCATAACTTTTTAAAAGGAAGACACCAGATTTAAAATTGGTCTTTTGAGGTATTTTGATATAACATGTATCACTTTCAATAGTCTACATATTGCACAGACATTTATAGCTCACTACACAGATATTAATATGTGTCAACCTTCAATACTTTAAAAATACTGTTTTCACTCTAATATTCAAGACAGAAAAACTATGCAAGAAATAATTAACTGCTATTCATTCCTATGCTTTCTCTCTCTAAATATATAAGGGTTGTAGCACTCAATAAAAACCTGCAGTTGTGTAAATGCTATTAAAACTACTACAGTTTATTTAATTCATAGAATTATTTTTTTAGCTTACCCAAATCTGTAGCTTAATTCTTTTTTCATTTTTGAAAACCGTTTTTACTTTGAAATCAATCCCAACCGTGCTTACAAATGCAGATGTAAAGGAATCATCAGCGTATCGGAACAAAAAGGAGGTTTTTCCAACACTGCTGTTGCCAATAATGAGCAGTTTGAACATGTAATCAAAATTCTGGTCAGATGTATCTTTCTGGCCATATCTGGAATCTTGAACGGATGCCATCTGTAATTCAAAATAAAAAAGAAATATCTTATTGTCTCTTTTAACATAAAAAATGGAAACATTTAGATTTTATTGAAGCTTTTCATACCAGGTATCAATGAATCTAAAGAAGAATATCTTCTTGAAAAATCAGTCATGTGTGTGCTTCAATGTGAACTTCAAGAAATGCACAGATATCTTATTATTTTTAGTGATTCTTGTATCTAGCAGTAGTTCTGCTAGCAATAGAGGATATAAAAATGACTGGTGACTGGTACCAAAACAAAAAATAATAATTCTAAAAGTTCAGGAGAATTCTTAAGTATATCACTAAAAATACTTTTTTTCAGAAAATATGTAAAAAATATATAAAAAATATAAAATATATATCATTTGTATAAGAGAGAAATAAGAGATCAGTGCTTCATTTTGACACAGTAGGTATATTTCCAAACAGAAGGTTAACAACTTTTACATCTAATAAAATTCTTGAGCCATTTTACTGTAAATACCTTGCTATCTTTTGCCATCCCTATAAACTTACTCAAAGCATTTTTCCTTTACCAGCTTTTAGTTATCATGCCATTAAATAGTGAGTGTATACACCTCTGAAATAAAGTCTCAATATTTTTCCAGTACTAGTATATTCTGTAGTTTTTTGAATTTGCAATATTAATGCAATATCTTCATAAGTGGCAGTTAGATTAATAGAATATTAAGGTTTGGAAGGGATATTAAAAATCATCTAGTCCCAGTCCTGACAGGGACACTTCCCACCAGACTAGATTGCTCAAGGCCTTATCTAAGTTGGCTTTGAACCAGGTTGGGGCATCCACCACCTCTCTGGGCAACCTGTGCTAGTGTCTCACTACCTTCATAGTAAATAATTTTTTCCTAATATCTAGTCTAAATCTCCATCTTTCAGTGTGTACCCATTCCTCCTTGCCCTGTCTCTCCAGTTCCTGCCAGAGAATCCCTCTCCAGCTTCCCTGTGGGCCCCTTCAGATACTGGAAGGTGTCTGTGAGGTCTCCTCACAATCCTCTCTTCTCCAGGCTGAAGAGCCCCAACTTGCTCAGCCTAGCCTCACAGCAGGGAGCTCCAGCCTCTTACCAACCTCCTGGCCCTCCTCCAGACTTGTTTTAACAACTCCTTGTCATCGTGCTGGGACCCCAGGGCTGGATGGAGTGCTCCAGTGGGGTCTCAGCAGAGCAGAGCAGAGGGATGGAATCCCTTACTCAGTGCACTGGCCAAAGCTGCTCTGGATGCAGCCGAGGATTCCCATGGCTTTCTGGGCTGGGAGCTCTCACTGCAGGCTCATGGTGAGTGTTGCATCAGCCATCACCCCCAAGTCCTTCCCCACAGGGCTGCTCTCAATTGCTCCTCTTCCCAGCCTGTGGGTGTGCATGGAATTACCATGAACCAGGAGTAAGACCTTGTATTTGGCCTTGTTGAGGTTTGCAGAGGCCCGTCTCCCAGCTGTGTCAAGATCCTGCTGGATAACATCATTTTGAAATCTGAGTCCTTAAAATACAATTTTTAATCCAAAACATCTAAATAAGCACAGATTACTGAATACTGTTAAAGAGCAACCTGTTTTGCTCTAGGGACTTCAAAGATAATGGATTCTATTTATAAAAAGTACACCTTAGGTTTTCATGAAAATTGCAGTGATTAGAGTGAAAATGTGACCAAAATTCTACCTAGGTTGCTCAAAACTAAGTTGAAAAAATAAAGAACTTAGAGTGTTTCTGCTGAGTTTTCAAGAAACATTATCAAATACTTTGACAGTCTGTGGAAGTTCTTTAATTATTATTATTCCAAGAACAACAGTTTTGCATGCTGATTTGAGACAGAATGACAGACACCATAACCTAACATAAAGGTTTACAGAAAAGCCTCATGTAAAAGCCTCATGTAAAATCTTTCTAATTTAGGCATCTCAGAATGTATTTGGGCAATCAGAAAGGACAGCTGGAACCAGGATGACAGCTGTGCACTAACTCCCACTCTCAGCAAAATTTTAGTTACAGTTTAGTTTTAGTTATAGTTTAGTTATGTATAATGTTTTAGATAATTCTGCTATCTCATATCATCAAAAACATTATGCCAGCTTCTTTGGGCTACTGAAGAGGCATACAGGAGTGGGGACAAAAATTTCTGAAGAAGACATTGGAAGTAGCAAGTTTTTAATAGAAAATTCAGTGTCAGATATATATTTCATAAATTATAGAGTAGGGAGTATTTTATTTCAGAATTCAATTTCAGAATTACCTTCTTCATTAAATGTAGTATTGGTTACCCACACACTTGCAGCCTGAATGTTTGCATTTGCCTTAAAATTTATTCACTTCTTCCACAGCTATGCAACAAAGAAGATTTAGAATTAAAACCTGAATATTGTCAAGCATACACATCACTGATCCTTTAGCTTTATTATTTTTCATAGATGTCGTGAGAGAGATACTTTCATTACTGTCCTGTATTGTATAACTACTTGCAGATATTTTGCTTAGAACACAAGAAAAAGGAAATCAGATATTGATAAATGAGTCTACTCACAAATTGCTATAAAGCAGTATAACACAGGGCATGTTAATGTTGTGTAGAGTTTGCAATAACAAGTCAACGAGGTCTATCAGGCCAAAGACTGCAGTGGCTGTGGGTGCCAGATGTGTGACCACTGTGTGTTGCTACAGCAGCCTGTTCCACTGCTCTTCTGGCTCCCCTCTGTTGTGCTGCAACTGACAGCAGCTGTTATCCCTTGTAGCAAGGAGGAACATCATATTCTTTCCTGATTTTATCTCCTAGGAAGCCTTTCACATAGCTCCTTCAACCAGCTTAAGATTTTAAAAAATAAGTTTAAGCTTTCATCCATTTGTTGCCCTGAATCCTATGAACCTTCCAAATCATCCCTATGTACTTTAATGCCTAACACTTCAGAAACAGTATGGTTCAATGAGCAGAGAAACCAGGAGACCTGGATTCTAATAATAGTCCTGCTAAACCATGTACATTGTGTAGCCTTCCTGAGTAATAATGTGTTTCCTGTGGATAGTTTTAAAGACAGATTTTACCCACAGAAGTTTTGGTGGTCCTCTAAATTAGTGTGGTTATATGCATTACTCATGCAGCACTTTCCTTAACAGTACTGAAAAAAAAAAAAAAAAGCTCAAAACCTTCACTGTGCCATAAACTGATGGAGTCATTACTTGCAGTATCATAGGCAGAATTACAGGTGTGTTGAACATAGATTTGAAGCTATTTTTATTACAGAGGCAGGAGTATGTCTGCTTATTACAGGATGCAAAAGGCATAGGAAAGGCATAGGAAAAGAATAATCTTTCAAAAGGATTAGTGAGGCAATAATTGAAACTGTTTGGAGAGACTAATTTTTGCTTAGCAAACAGTCTCCCTAGACTACTGACAGTGATCTTTTCTCCAAAACCCAAATCAGCCTGCACTAATGTAAAGAAACATCAAACTCCGTGCATTTGCTACGACTTTGTCATTACTTCCCAAACTCACTCCTTCTGCAGTAAGCAAACAAGACAAATTCTTCCAAGAACAATCCACTTTATACTCACAATCTAAGTTATACCCTAAAGGAATATCTGTATTTCTGCTGACTGTAAGGGAAATATAGATGCTTGGTCCTCTTGAACTTTTTGAATAAGCCTGTAGCACTTCTCTTTCTTAAATGCAAGATGCTGACTTCACTGTAATCCACTTCCCAAAGTACTAATATGACAGTTCACTCCTTACAGTAGTCTTCCCTACTATTGGAGGCATTTGTAAAATATGAAGAACATCATGACAATGCTATGTTCCATCTTTGGAAGTTATGCTGCAAGCAATCACTAGGAACGCTGTGTCCCCACCTGTAATTAAACATTACATACATTGATGAGAACCAAATAAACCTCGCAAATGTTATGATATTCTCCTTCCAATAAAGTAAAATGTATATCTTTATTTTGACTAACTTCTCTCGAAGGTTAAATGATATTAAACAATCACTTTCAACAAAACATGCTGTTTTCTCTTCAGTATGATTTTGCCCTTATTTGGTAAAATTGAAGACAAAATGCACAGGGTTATTTTCATCAGCACCAAAAGCAGCCTCAAGCCATTTCTTTCAGGACTTAGGACAGACTTGAGAGTCGACTGAGAAGTCTAAGCTCAAGACAATGAACAGAAAACCTATAGACAGGAGATCTCACATGCTTGCTCCTTATCAAAGCCAGGAGGAGTTATGCTGCCAGTTTGAATACAGTGCAAGGACAAATAAAGGATAGCTTTGTATGCTTTCCTGCTTACAGCACATTTCTAAACTCCTTAAACATGGATTATGCAAGGGCATAGGCAAGTTCATTCATTAAGCAGAGTTTTCTGTACAAACCCAGGTGCTTTCCAAGCCTCATGTTTTGCTGTTTCCTTGATCCCAAGAGAAGAGGTGAAAATAGAGCAGGATTGAAAACAAATGTCAGAAAAACTATGTTTACCTGCCACTTTCATGATCATAACAAAACATTTGGCTTTTTCTCTATGCCTTGGCAGGCCTCATTCTTTGTCAGAATCAATTTGAACAGCTTTCTTACTTGTGCAGCGCAAGATGCTGTGACCTCCATGACCTGCAGACAACTACAGTTTGCGCTTATATATGCATTCATCCCACCCTTCATGCTTAGTGTAGGATGTTTTGCCCCTGGAAAATATGGTGCAGAAAACCTGACATTGAAAGCAATGAGATTTATTCATTCACACCTTTAGCAAATAAGTAGTTTCCTTTTAAAAACTCTAGTAACAATCACGTCTTAAAGGAGTAAGTCCAGAGAAAATATCTTCTTTTTATGTACAATAAGGATTGAGACTGATTAGTGAACTTAAAGTTGCTTTAAAGTGCTACACTCTCTTTCTGTCTAGTGTTACAGCCTGCCTCTGAAAGTGGGGTAACTGAGGTCCTTTTTAATAGATCCCTTCGGTCAGATGAGAGTGGAACAGTGCTGACTGACTGGTGTTTATACATACATAGTTGCAGTGGAAAGAGAAATGGTTCTTTCCTATATACAGGGTAGAAATATATACAACTTCTATTCCTTTCTACTAAAATACTAAAATATCAACTTTAGTTGATATTTTAGTAAAAACAGTTTCTTGCATATGCAGCCTTTCGCAAGGCGATCTTTCTGCCTTTTGTAAAATGTAATTAGTCAAACATAGTCAATGGATATTGAAACCATGGAATACAAAAAAAAAAATTCAATTACTCTAACTTGCCAAACTGTATGTAGGACGTACAGTGAGTGACACTCACTGCACATAGTGGTCTTTCATGTGTAGATCAACTTACATCATCAGAGTAGTTAAAATATTAACAAAATCCTTATGTATAAGAAGAACACTGTGACAAATAACCCAGCCATGAAGAAATTAATTAGTTTTGAGGTGAAATATCAGATTAATCTAGGGACTGCATTTTAATCTTAATTCTTTCAGAGGCCTCCTATGGCTTTTGTTTTCTTCTTTCCTATATCTTGGTCAAGCTGCTCACTCTTTTGTATTTTTGGTGTGATCTCAGCATAGATATCCTCATATGTAGACCACAGCCAATTCTCACAAAACATAATAATTTATTTTTTAACCAATTAGAATTAACGGGGTTCAGGAGACAATGCACCAGCTACTTATTTGGAATTTTCTGTTTGCCAGCCATCTGCAGAGCACAGCTTGTAAACTAATGTACTTGGCAGCATCAGGAAAAGCTTATCTGCTTCAAGGTATTATGGGGTCAGCATCATGTATATATTTAAATGTATCCCAGCACAATTAGAAACATGTAGTTATAAAAGCAAAGGGTTTTTTTAAGCAGAACACTGAAAAGCAAAGTTGGGGAATACCAAGAAGATACTGAGATGTTAATTATAAAACACTTCAGAGAAGCTCTACCTGCTTCATATCAGCAAAACTAGCATGAATATAGCCACACTGCCAGGAGATGCCCCGGACAGTAGAATGTAAGTATGCAGAATGTAAAAAACAGTTTTGGCAAGGCTCTAACACCTGGATTCTTGTGGTGAGCTCACAAATTATTCCTCATTTCTTTCTTTAACCTAAATTTACTTTGTCTATGAAAAGGGTAGCTTAGGAAGCATATATCTAACTTCCACGCTAGACAGCATTTAAAAACTATCTTCTTCCAATAGCAACAAAAAGAGACACAGTCCTAAGAGGGTTACTATAACAGAGGATTTTAGGAGGCCACCAAAATAGTGCAGCTATGGAAAGAAAAAATAAAAGTTGTGTCAGCCCAGGTACTCCAGAAAAAATACATTTAGATTTACTAGGGAATATGAAGAATGAAAATGAGAGGGGTAAAGATCTCTGCCATTTACTCTATTTAGTATAGCACTCTGGGTCATGAGACTAGGTACCTTTTTGCTTGCCAGAGAAGCTGCATCAGGCTAAAAGACTAAGTGAAATACTAGTGCCATTGTCTAGGGCACTGGTGAGACAGCATTAGTGACAATTCTGATCAAGTGCGTTTATAAAAGCCAAGTTCAAACAGGAAAACACCCAGAAGGTTAACAGGAAGATTAGAGGAAAGATGAACTTATGGAAGAAATAAAAATGAAACAGAACCAAACAAAAAAACAGTAAACAAAACATTAGCTTGTTTCTCTGGTTAGTAATTTGGTCATGATGCAATAAGAGCTATTTAGGCTGATGTTTGTTGGAGCAGACGTTGGATGTTATCAATAGCATAAACTGAGTGCCTCTGAGCTGGAGGAGTATCTAACCAGCAAGGGAACAAACTTCAACAATACACTTCCAAAAAGGGGGAGGGGCAGAAAGAGGACTACAGACTCCAGATGCAGGTAGATCAGTTAACTAAAAGGTGTATATGAGTTTCTCTGTGGACTTAGTGGCTTGGCAGGCTCTTGTACTCCAGCGCTTCCACTATGAACTCACATTAATAATATCATATCTAATGGTATGATATTAGAGAGAGATTATGAGATATATGAACTCATATCTAATAATTTTGCTGAGTGATAGGAGCTGATTTGTCATGCAAACTCCAGTATCTAATAGCTTTGTTTGGCCTTTTGTAACGTAATTTTATAATAACTTCTTAAATACCTGTAAGCAGTATTTTGGCTTGCTATTGCGCTTCTCCATTGTGTTTGGATGTGTCTGCTATAAACGTACCTTGTCTAGACATAACAATTGCCATTGATAACAGGATAGGAAAAACTAAGGAAACCTGTTTCTGTTTCTTTCCTTGGCAAAGGAGATAATTAATAAACGATCTCCCACTTCCTATTATTTTTTCCTCTCAGCCACCTTTGAAATGATCTTTCCACACAGACAAACTGCTGAGAAGGGGCCTCTGCTACCACCAGCTCTAGCCATGAGCCACCTCTCCCCGGTGCAGGTGGACAACTGCTCCATGACTACACAAGTGGAGGCACCGTGCCAGCTTCCTGTGCACCTCGGCAGGACCTCGGTGCAGCCCATCATCCAACACCGACAGCCAGTCCCTCCCAGGAGAGCTGCGACGGGCGCTCGGGGGGCAGTGTCTGAAAAACACGTTCGATGTGCCCGAGTGTGAGTGGAAACCCACCCGCTGCCCGCGACGGGCCCACCCTGCCGGGGACACGGCCCCTTGCACACGCTCGGGCCCCCGCTCGCAAGGGGCGTCCGCACCCTGTGCCCGCAGCAGCAGAGCCGGCCCGGCGGCCCGGGCGGAGCGGCTCCCGCCCCGTCCCGGCTCCCGTGCCCCGCGCCCGCCGCAGCCCTCGCTCGGCTCCGGCCCGGGGACCGACCTGCATGGGCGCTTCGTGCCTCATCGTCGGGCGCGGCCCCGCCGCCGCTCGCTCCCGCACGCCAGCAGCCTCCGCCGCCAGCCCCGGCTCTGCCGGCAAACCCGCGTCGCGATCAGCACCGGAGCTGTCCTCGCTCCGCCCCCGGCCTGCCCCGCCCCCGCTCCCATGCACTCCCGGGAGTCGTGGTCCTGCTGCCCGGGTCCCCCGCCCTCGGCTCCGGGAGACGGGACTACAGCTCCCGGGGTGCGCGGCGCCAGGCCGCGAGCGGGCGGGGCGGAGCGGGGGGCGCGGGGAGCGCGGAGTTCCGCGGTCCCGGCTCGGGGCCGCAGAGGGCGGCGGGGCCGTGGGGCGGGGGCCCTGTGGTGGGGCGGGGGCTCCCGTGCGCCGAGGCGGAAAGCGGGGACGGAGCGGGCGGAGCAGACACCGCCGAATGCGCTGCCCTCCCGGCCCGACCGCCCGCACCCGGGAGGAGCAGCTCGGGCGGCGCTCGGGGGCTGCGGAAGCCGCTCGGTGGAGCGGAGCGGGCTCGCCCGGGCCCCGGCCGTGCTACACAGCGCCCTCTGCGGCCAGGGGAGGGCACGCCCGCGGGCTCCGCGACGCGGGGC